ATTGTCCTTTTCAAACATGTGGCTGCCCCTGGATCCCTGGAAGTGTCCCAAGGCCAGGGTTGAGCAACCTGGTCTTGTGGAAGGTGTCCCTGCCCATGGCAGGGGGTGGCACTTGTTGGGCTTTGAGGTCCCTTCCCACCCAAACCATTCAAGGATCCTAAGCCTGGAAATGCTTGGTGAGAAGGAGTAACTCTTTTTTCCTTGGCAGTGACATATTTTTCATTTCCCTCCTGGAGAAGCCAGGGAGCTGTTATTCCATAGTTAAAAGGTTTATTTCTAGACCCGGCTGGGGACGTTCATAGCAAATTCATGACAGATGACACCAAAATCCACCCCCAGTCTCCCTGTGAGTCACTGTCTCATCTTCTGGGCCGGGGAAGGTAATTTTAGACCCAGCTCAGGCTGAATGGCACATCTGAGTGCTCTGAGCTAATAATAACATGAATGGATCCTTTCAGGAGTGTTCATTGTTCCAAACTGTTGGAGAAAAGGCAGGATATTTACCCAGAAAACCACTGTTATTCTGGGCTTCTCATAAGGCTCATTCTGACATGAATAAGCAAAAGCAAATCAAAGTTTTGATCTCGATTTGGTGGCACAGACTCATTGGGAAATTATTATATTAGTTTATAATTTAGCAGCCAGTTCAGGCTCTTTAGTGCAGGGGATCATTAATACATTAATTGAGGCTGATTTTTGGCAGCTTCCAACATAAAATAACCCAGCACAGGAACTTTTACCATGAAAGATGAGGGTTTCAATACGTGATTTTTCAGCTGCCTGACAAAGCTCATTGAAATCCCAGCTGAAGCTGCTGTTTTGTCCGGGGAATGTGAGAAACAAATTCAAAAAGGGTTGAAATCATTTTTAATCCCTCCATTAAGATGTAGTTTGTTCTGATAAACTTGCTTTGTTTCCTGTCATTCGGACAATAAGGGAATTAGGGAAGTTGGGAAAAATATTCCTCTGGCCCAGGTTGCCCAGAGGAGCTGTGGCTGCCCCTGGATCCCTGGAAGTGTCCAAGGCCAGGTTGGAGCAACCTGGAATAGTGGAAGGTGTCCCTGCCCAGGGCAGGGGTGGCACTGGATGGGCTTTGAGGTCCCTTCCAACCCAAACCCTCCTGGGATTCCATAAAATGCAGAACAGCCAAATTGCCAGCAATTTTCCATTAGATCCCACATTTTGCAGCTGAATTTAATCCCTCTTGTGGCCACAATAATCCCAATAAATAGGGTGCAGTTTGCACCTCTCACACACTCCTGTCTCTCCAGGACAAGCCTCGAGCTCCAAATTAAAACCAGATGGACAGGGTAGGACAGCTCTGCACCAAAACAATATCAACTTCAGGCTCTGATTTTCATTAGTTTGGATTTATCTTGGATTCCTCTGGGTTTACAACTTCTACAATTCCTACGGAGTTACACCGGGTGAAGTTTGACCACAGAACTTCTGAACGAGGCAAAATCGTATTAAATGAGAACAGTTTTGCCTCAGAGTCATCACCACATCAGTCCCTGCCTGGAATGAGCTGTTGCAGTAATCACTGTTCACATCTAATCTCGCCCTTGATGCTTGCAACCAAATTCCTCAGGAGAAAGTGTGAATTTGTGTAATTTTTTCGGGCTTGTTTGCTTTGGAAATTACTCCAGCCAGACAATCTTCTCCCAGAATAAACAGGGCATCTGGGAGGTGGGAATAATTCATTCTTTTTGCAAAATTACCCTCCAATCACCTGCCCTGGGCTCTGAAAATGATGGTTTGATGGTCTCCCAGCAGCCTAACAGGAATTTCTGGTGCTCAGCGTGGACAGAGGGGGTTGTGGCTGCAACAGCAAAGTTGGGAAAAAGGGGAGAGGTGACAATTCCCACACTCTTCCTATAGATGGAGGTGGATGAGTGTGGTGGTTTGAGCCATCACAAAAATCCCAAATCCAATTTCCAGGCTTCCCCCACCCCTTCCCTACGGCGAAAAATCAGATATCACGACAACTTCAATACTCTGCAATTAACATATAACATAAAATGAAACACTAATCCTTCTACTATACCTTAGCACAACGTTATCACAAATTTAACTCTGTATTAAGCACTTAAATTACAGCTAAAGCTCTGCCCTCTCAACAGTGGTACAGTCTGTTATGTCTGAAAACTTCTCTTTGTTATCTCAACAAGTCTCATGATTCTACTGGCAGCCAATCCAAAAATCTGAGCCATGGCACCAAAAAATGTGGTGGTTTGAGCCACCACGAAAATCCCAAATCCAATTTCCAGGCTTCCCTCACCCCTTCCCTACTATAAAAAATCAAATATCACAAAAATTTCAATACTCAGCAATTAACATATAACCTAAAATGAAACACTAATCCTTCTACTATACCTTAGCACAACATTATCACAAACTTAACTCTGTATTAAGCACTTAAATTACAGCTAAAGCTCTGCCCTCTCAACAGTGGTACAGTCTGTTATGTCTGAAAACTTCTCTTTGTTATCTCAACAAGTCTCTCGCAGCCAATGCAAAAATCAGAGTCATGGCACCAAAAACGTGGTGGTTTGAGCCACTACAAAAATCCCAACTCCAATTTCCAGGCTTCCCCCACCCCTTCCCTACTGTAAAAAATCAAATATCACAACAATTTCAATACTCAGCAATTAACATATAACCTAAAATGAAACACTAATCCTTCTACTATACCTTAGCACAACATTATCACAAACTTAACTCCGTATTAAGCACTTAAATTACAGCTAAAGCTTTACCCTCTCAACAGTGGTACAGTCTGTTATGTCTGAAAACTTCTCTTCGTTATCTCAACAAGTCTCTCGCAGCCAATGCAAAAATCAGAGTCATGGCACCAAAAATGTGGTGGTTTGAGTGAGCCACCACAAAAATCCCAAATCCAATTTCCAGGCTTGCCCCACCCCTTCGGGTGGAAATTGGAGTTGGGATTTTTGTGGTGGCTCAACCCACCACAATGAGTTGCTGCCTGGAGGTTGCTCCCACGCTTCCCTGTGGCAAACAGGAGGGACAAACCTCGCTGCAGGATATTTAGGGTTTGTTTTTTTCCCTGGCAAAATTAACGAGGGAATAAATTAAGGAAGGGCTCCCAAATAATTCTGCTGGATGTCTTTGGAGCCTCCATAATTCCCAGGCGGTTGTGGAGCAGTGAAAACACCACAGGCCTGAAGTCCCTGCTGCCAAATCAGCAATCCAGGAGGAGCTGAAGGCAAAGCCTTGGAATTAAAGCCACGAGGACACAAATAATGGGAGATGTGCAAATAAAACTCGTCGCTCGTCTCCGACATCCTCGGAATGTTGATGCCTCCTCTGCTCCGTTCCTCTGCTCCCTGATTTCAGGGCCCTGAGACAAAACCTAATCCAACCTGAAGTATCCAAATGTTCCAAGATTTCCTGCGGAATTGTTCTCCAAAACACACTCCTCTGAAATTCCTAATGATCCCCAAATCCAAGCTGAGAACTTTGCTCTTGAGCATTTCAGACACAGATCCTCACACAGAGACCTCAGGAGAGTTCAAATCTGTGATTTCCATGCTGGGAATCAGCATTCCCAATGGCATTTCTTGGGATTGACCACTGGAATGAGGCTCTCAAGGTACAAAACCATAACAAGGGGCAGAGACACAACCAACTGTTTGCTCAGGCAGGGACGAGCCAAAAGGGAAGAGTAAATTCCCAAGGAATTCCAGACATGGAAACGACTTGGCCAGAGATTCCACCTAAATACTTAGTTATCCTTTTGCAAAGCATTTCAACACACCTGCTTGGATATTCCCATTTGAACTAAATAAATCTAAAATAACACATTTCTGTTTAAATCAATGCATGGAATTGAAGTTTGAGTCGATGTAGGAACATATCAAATCAATCCTCTGGGAAAATCAATCCTTTAAATCAAGGTAAGGATATGAAATGGTTGTTTTTTTGGTTTTTTTTTTTTAAATGGGAAATATTTTTTTGAAGAAAAATTGTTAGTTTTCAACACAGCACGGGAAAGACATGGAACTGTTGGAGGGATTGCAGAGCAGGTCACAAAGATGGAGCCGGGCTGGGAGAGCTGGGGGGGTTCCCCTGGAGCAGAGAAGGCTCCAGGGAGAGCTGAGAGCCCCTGGCAGGGCCTAAAGGGGCTCCAGGAGAGCTGGAGAGGGACTGGGGACAAGGCATGGAGGGACAGCACACAGGGAATGGCTTCCCACTGCCAGAGGGCAGGGACAGATGGGATATTGGGAAGGAATTCCTGGCTGGGAGGGTGGGGAGGCCCTGGCCCAGGTTGGGCAGAGAAGCTGTGGCTGCCCCTGGATCCCTGGAAGTGTCCAAGGCCAGGCTGGAGCAACCTGGGATAGTGGAAGGTCCCAAAATAAACACCCAAATCGGAGACAGTCAGGGACTCACACATTAGTTAAACTGAGCTTATCCCTGTTATCCATGGAGATGCTCCAAGGGTGGAGCCCCTGTGGAGCCAGGCTGGGAGAGCTGGGGGGGTTCCCCTGGAGGAGAGAAGGCTCCAGGGAGAGCTGAGAGCCCCTGGCAGGGCCTAAAGGGGCTCCAGGAGAGCTGGAGAGGGACTGGGGACAAGGCATGGAGGGACAGGACACAGGGAGTGGCTTTGAGCTGGAAAAGGGAAGATTTAGGTGGGATATTGGGAAGGAATTGCAGGCTGGGAGGGTGGGGAAGCCCTGGAATAGAATTCCCAGAGAAGTTGTGGCTGCCCCTGGATCCCTGGAAGCGTCCAAGGCCAGGCTGGAGCAACCTGGGCTAGTGGAAGGTGTCCCTGCCCATGGCAGGGAAGTTGAAACGAGAAGATCTTTAAGTTCCCTTCCCACCCAAACCATTCCAGGATTCTCGGCCCTGGCATCGCAGCCGCGGCAGGGGGTGGAACGAGACGGTCCCGAAGGTCCTTCCAACCCAAACCATTCCACAATTCCACCACAGAAGCTCATCCCAAAAGAATGAGGAGTGAAGGGACGGTGCTGGAGCCCCACCTGTCTTGTTGGAGAGGCGGAAGGAGACCATCTTGTCCGGGATGCTGCAGACATTCCGGACGGACGCGATGCAGCTGTAGTTGGCGTAGTCCTGAGGGCGAAGGTTCTTCAGCTTCAGGATCTTGGTTTCTCCCTGGGAGAGGAGGAGGAGAGAGAATGAGAATCATGGAATCATAGTATCATAGAATCACAGAATCATGGAATCATGGAATCACGGAATCATAGAATCATAGAATCATGGAATCATGGAATCACAGAATCCCAGAATCAGCTGGGTTGGAAGGGACCTCCGAGATCATCCAGTCCAAGCCTTGATCCAACCCCGCCGTGGTTCCCAGCCCATGGCACTGATGCCACATCCAGTCTGTCCTTAAACACCTCCAGGGACGGAGAATCCCCCCCTTCCCTGGGCAGCCCATTCCAAGGGCTCAGCACCCTCTCTGCAAAGAAATTCTTCCTGATCTCCAGCCAGGAAACCGGTTTGATGGAGTCGAGTCGTGGTGTTATTTGGGAGGATTTATTTTAATAAATGTTATTTAATAAGGATAAGTTAATAAATGAACTAAAAATAGGATATAAAAAGTAAAAATAGAAAAAATAAAAATATAAAAAGTAAAAATATAAAAATTAAAAGTATAAAAAGTAAAAATATAAAAAATAAAAATATAAAAATTAAAAATATAAAAAATAAAAATATTAAAAGGAAAAATATAAAAATTAAAAGTATAAAAAATAAAAATATAAAAAAATAAAAATATAAAAAGTAAAAATATAAAAATTAAAAATATAAAAATAAAAATATAAAAAATAAAATACAAAAATTAAAAATATATAAAATAAAAATATTAAAAGTAAAAATATAAAAATTAAAAGTATAAAAAATAAAAATATAAAAAATAAAAATATAAAAATTAAAAATATAAAAATTAAAAATATAAAAATTAAAAATATAAAAAATAAAATATAAAAATTAAAAATATAAAAAATAAAAATATAAATAAAAATAAGAAGAATTAAAAGAAATGATAAGCAATGAAATGGATGAAGGAAGTGAATGATAAATAAAATAACATAAATAAAATAATAATTAAATAAATAGAATAGTAAATAAATAAATAAACTAAAAATGTAATAAAAATAATAAGAATTAAAATAAATTGCAAATAACAAAATGGATTAAGGAAGCAAATTGTAAATAAAATGACATAAATAAAAAAAAGAAGATATAAAGTAAATAAAATAATAAAAATTAAATAGAATGGTAAATAAGTAAATAAAATAAAAATATAATAAAAATATGAATAAAAATAATAAGAATTAAAATAAATGATAAATAACTAAATGGATGAAGGAAGTAAATGATAAATAAAAGAACATAAATAAAAATAGAAAAATTGTGTGAAATAAATAAAATAATAAAATAATAAATAGAATGGTACCTAAAATAAAATGAATAAAATGGTATTGGGATGATTTATTTGAATAAATATATTTAATAAGAATAAATAAATAGCTAAAAATGTAATAAAAATAATAAGAATTAAAGTAAATGATAAATAACTAAATGGATGAAAGAAGTAAAGAATAAATAAAATAATGTAAATAAAATTTAAAAAATGAAAAAAATAAATAAAATAATAAAATAAGAAACAAATACATAGAATGGTAAATAAGTAAATAAACTAAAAATGTAATAAAATATAAATAAATATAAGAAGAATTAAAATAAATTATAAATAACTAAATGGATAAAGGAAGTGAATGATAAATAAAATAACATAAAAAATATGAAATTGATATAAAATAAATAAAATAATAATCAAATTAATAGAATGGTAAATACAATAAAAGCAATAAAATTGGCATTTGGGATAATTTATTTTAATAAATATATTTAATAAGTATAAATAAAGAAACTAAAAATGTAATAAAAACAGAAATAAAAATAATAAAAATTAAAATAAATTATAAACAACTAAATGGATTTAAAAATATAAATAAAAATAATATGAAGTAAAATAAAATAATAAATAATGAAAGGGATTAAGGAAGTAAATGATAAATAAAATGACATAAATAAAAATAGAAAAATAATATAAAATAAATAAAATAATGAACTAATAAATAAAATGGTAAATAAAATAAAATCAATAGAAGTGGTATTTGGGATAATTTATTTTCATAAATATATTTAATAGGAATAAATAAACTGAAAATGCAATATATAAATAAAAATAATAGGAATAAAAATAAATGATAAATAACTAAATGGATTAAAGAAGTAAATGATGAATAAAATAACGTAAATAAAAATAGAAGAATGATATAAAATAAATAAAATAATAAACAAATAAATAGGATGGTAAATAAAACTAAATTAAAATGGTAAATGAAATAAATAAAAATATATAATGAAATAAATTAGAAATAATAAAAAATAAAAAGAAAGAAAGAAATAGATCAAGAGAAAGAGAGAAAGAATGAGAGAGAAAGGGAGAAAGGGAGAAAGAAAGAAAGAAAGAAAGGTAAATAAAATAAACAAAAAAAATAAATTAAAAGAAATTTAAGTATTTAATAAATAAATGTATTTCCACAGAGTTTGAGAAAACACTTCTATGGAACTGGCAAGGAAAATAAATCCATGAGAAAGAAGATAGAGATGAAGAGGCAAGAAAAAGAGTCCTTGGAATCAGGCCTGGGAGGTGTTTGGAATATCGGAATTCCTACGTCTAATCAATCCCACTGGAATGATGGGATTAAAACGAAACCCATGGGATTTAATGTTTGCTAGACCAGGCCTTGGAAAGGCTGATCCTAAAGGTGAAGATCCTGCTTTAAGGAGGTTTATGTGGGATAGGGAATGGCCTGATCCAGGCTCTGAAAGTTCTGGAAACACTGGAAAACATCCCAGCAATTCCCTCCTCAGCTCCGCTCTCCGAGTCCAACCCGTGGGCTGTGTTTGGAATATCGGAATTCCTACGTCTAATCAATCCCACTGGTTGATCCTAAAGGTGAAGATCCTGCTATAGGAGGTTGATCTGGGATAGGGAATGGCCTGATCCAGGCTCTGAAAGTTCTGGAAACACGGGGAAACATCCCAGCAATTCCCTCCTCAGCTCGGCTCTCTGAATCCATGGGCTGAGCTCACCATGGAATTCTGGATCACGTCCCCAGATTGCAGAGATTTATAAAAAATGGATGTATTTTTCTTCATTGCTTTGGGTAATTAGTCTAATGACGCCTAATTGCCTAATTATTGTAAATACAGCAAATTTAATCTCGCGCTCAGGCAATTACGACGTGTGACGAGGAGGATGCAAACTAGGAGGGGGAAAAAAATCCGGGATTTGGGAAGTTTGGCATTTTCAACACTCCCACAGATGAGAATATTCAGGTTTGCTCCGTTTGCCTCCCCAGGGCTGCTGAAATAAGGAGCTGTTGTCTCCTGATCCATTGGAAAACCCGGGGCAAAGTTCAAGGATTTCTTTGGAGGTGCCCAATTTTCCAGGTGCCCTCCGGGATTTAAGTGCCAACGGGATCCTGGGATGATCCCCCAGTGTGGGCAGTGGGGTAGGGAGGGATTGTGCCCCTCTGCCCCCGCAGGTGAGACCCCCCTGCAGAGCTGCTCCAGCCCTGGGAACAGCACAGGGGGGACGTGGAGCTGCTGGAGAGAGTCCAGAGGAGATCCTGGAGATGCTCCAAGGGCTGGAGCCCCTCTGGAGCCAGGCTGGGAGAGCTGGGGGGGTTCCCCTGGAGAAGAGAAGGCTCCAGGGAGAGCTGAGAGCCCCTGGCAGGGCCTAAAGGGGCTCCAGGAGAGCTGGAGAGGGACTGGGGACAAGGCATGGAGGGACAGGACACAGGGAATGGCTTCCCACTGCCAGAGGGCAGGGAGAGATGGGAGATTGGGAAGGAATTCCTGGTTGGGAGGGTGGGGAGGGGCTGGAATAAAATTCCCAGAGAAGCTGTGGCTGCCCCTGGATCCCTGGAAGTGTCCAAGGCCAGGCTGGAGCAACCTGGGCTGGTGGAAGGTGTCCCTGCCCATGGCAGGGGTGGCACTGGATGGGCTTTAAGGTCCTTTCCCACCAAAACCATCCTGGGATTTTTTGTGATAACTAAACCAAGAAAACCATCAGAAATAACAGATATCCCTTTTTTGGGGAGGGGGTAAAACACCCGAGAAATTTTAAGTCACAACTTGGTTCCTTTTCCACTTCCCCTGATTTTCAGCTCCTAATCCACCCTTAAGCCACTCCATGAGAAAATTCCATCCCAAATTTGTCTCTCTCGGTCCCTCTTCACATCAGCTCCCACGATTTGCAACCCTCTCATTAGCTGAGCTAATTAGGCAGAAGATGCTGATGACTCTTGACCCTTTAATTACATCTTTTCCCTCATATAAACACGGAGCAGATCTTGTCAGGACACACTAATTCAAACTGACCTCCAAGAAACGTGTAAAGGTCATGGAGAAGCTTTTAACTATCAACAGGGTATGTTTTTTATTCATTAACTAAATTTATTCATTCATTTGATTTATTTATTCATTTATTAAATGTGATTTACTCATTTATTAAATGTGATTTATTAATTAATTAAACCCACTCAGAGATTTTGGGAAGGATGATCCAAATAACCTGGAAATATTAAAAAAAAAAATCTAATTTATCTAATTTTGTGTGACACATTTCATTAGAGAAATTCTTAGATTTTTAGGGAAGGCAATAATCAGCATTTCTGTGCTGAAATACAAACCAAAAAATCCTCTATTCAGACTCTCACCTTTTAATTAAAACATTTAAAACCTCCACTTTAGGCACTTGAGCCCGAGCAAACAAGCCACAGATTTGCTAAACTGAGTTTAAATTAAAATAGTAACTAAAATAAATAAAAATATATCATGAAATAAATTAGAAATAGTAAAAAATAAAAGGAAAGAAAGAAAGAAAGAGATAAAGAAAGAAAGAAAGAAAAACAGAAAGAAAGGGGTAAATAAAATAAAATTAATAAAAAATAAAAAATAAATTAAAAATAAGCTCATGAAATTAAAAATAATCTCATTAGGCCGAGCAGACCAATAACTGGGCTCTGTAATCTAATTCCCAGCTCTGCAAGGAGGCTCCAGATCTGCTTTTCTCAGGGAAAATACGGAGTAATAAAAAGCTGTCGAGCACAATAAAAGGGAAAAAAAATGAAGGTGCTCTCCAATCATCAGCTGAAAATTATTTCTGAAAGTCACAGGTTGCTTTCTGCTCTGAACACTGAATTACCAGGTACTTTTCACCTCCCTCTTTACCTGTTATGGCTTGAGGTCGTTCCAAAATAATTTTTCTCATTTTAAATTTTTTTTTCTTTTACTTTTTTTTTTTTTTTTTTTGCCAACACCATCCCACACTTTTGGGATCTGCCACCTTTTTATTCTGGTGCTGTGCTAAAATTCTGTGTTAGAAATGAATTAATCTCATTTAAGCTGACGGAGCCCTGACTGTTTCCTGGCTGTGAGTGGGAGAGGAAGGCTTTAAAAATGCATTTATTCCCTTTTTTTTTTTGCCACCTCCCCTTTCAGGTGTGTAATTCTGGCACAAAAAATTTCTATTTAAAAACAACAAAAGCAGAAAAAAAATAATAAAAAAAAACAACTATGGGGAGTTGCCAAAGAGTTTGGAATCCTGGAATGGTTGAGGGTGGAAAAGACCTTTCAGATCATCAGCTAAACCCTACTAAAACATGTTCCCAAGTGCCACATCCATGGGATTTTTGAGCATTTCCAGGAATAGGGGCTCCACTACTTTCCTGGGCAGCCTGTTCCAATGTTTTCCAACTCTTCCCAAGAAAAATATTTCATAGGATCCTCCCCTGGCCTTCACCAAGAGCTTTTTAGGCAGCAACTTGTGTGTGGAATGCCCTTGTTGGGTTGGGAAGGATGGGGAAACAGGAGTCAGAGCTCTGGGCTTGCAGCAGCCAGGAAAAATCACTTTAAAAGGCCTCCCCAGAGAGGGAAACCCTCCCATAACTTCTTATTTAATAATTTTACGAACAATTAAAACTATTAAAAAAATAAACCAATAAAAAATTCCCACATCCCACCCCACACACCAGGCAGGGATCTGCATTAATTCCCATTTTTTTGCCATCTCCCCTTTCAGGAATTCTGGAACAAAAACTTTCTATTTAAAGATAAGAAAAACAGAAAAAAAGAATAAAAAAACCTGCCATGGGGAGTTGCCAAAGAGTTTAAAATCCTGCTTTTTAGGCGGCAACCTGTGTGTGGAATGCCCGTGTTGGGTTGGGAAGGATGGGGAAAGAGGGGTCAACTCAGAGCTCTGGGCTTGCAGCAGCCAGGAAAAATCACTTTAAAAGGCCTCCCCAGATAGAGATGTCCTTCCAAAACTTCTTATTTTACAATTTTACCAAAAAAAATGTTTTATGAAATGATAAACCCATCATTTATATCAGGAAGTCTTTTAACAGCAACCGGCCGCGTTCGCTCGGGACGTCATTACTTCGAGGGCATCCCCCACGTTCCCATCCCCACAAATCAGGCAGGGATCCTTTTCCAGAGCCTAAAAAAGGCCAAAATTCCCTCCTGGGATTCCTACCTGGGTAAAGAAGGGCTCGTAGATCTCCACTCCCTTGTCGGAGCCCTGCAGCAGCACCTCCTGCCCGCGGCGCCAGCTGTACCGCACCGGCGGGTTGGAGTTGGCCACGCACCTGAGGAACACGGTCTTCTCATAGTAAAACTGCTCCTTGGCCTCCCCAATGCTCTGGTGGACTGTCACTATGGGATCATCCAAATCTGGGAAGAGACAGGAAGACAAAGCAAGATAAAGTCAGGCTTTAGTCGAGTCTATGACAGGAAGATTGTGCGTTGCGTTATATACAAGTCAACAGCAAAACAGAGGAAAAACAGCTCCAGGAGCCACAAATGGCAGGGATTTTGCAGCAAAATTCAGTTTTGGAGCTTGTTTTCATGTGGAGTTTAAATTTCATCTGATATTCTTTCAGGAAGACAAAGCAAGATAAAGTCAGGCTTTACGTGAGTCTATGACATGAAGCGTGTGCGTCACATCGTACAGAAGTCAACAGCAAAACAGAGGAAAAACAGCTCCAGGAGCCACAAATTGTTGGGATTTTGCAGCAAAACTCAGTTTTGGAGCTTGTTTTCATGTGCAGTTTAAATTTAATTTCATTTTCTTTCAGGAAGACAAAGCAAGATAAAGTCAGGCTTTAGTTGAGTCTACGACAGGAAGATCGTGCATCACGTTATATACAAGTCAACAGCAAACAGAGGCAACACAGCTCCATAAGCCACAAATTGTAGGGATTTTGCAGCAAAATTCAGTTTTGGAGCTTGTTTTCATATGGAGTTTTAAATTTAATTTCTCAGGAAGAAAAGCAAGATAAGGTCAGGCTTTGGTTGAGCCTATGACATGAAGTGTGTGCGTCACACCATACAGAAGTCAACAGCAAAACAGAGGAAAAACAGCTCCATGAGCCACAAATTGTTGGGATTTTGCAGCAAAACTCAGTTTTGGAGCTTGTTTTCATGTGCAGTTTAAATTTAATTTCATTTTCTTTCAGGAAGACAAAGCAAGAGAAAGTCAGGCTTTAGTTGAGTCTATGACAAGAAGTCAAGATCAAACAGAGGCAACACAGATTTTAGGGATTTTGCAGCAAAAATCAGTTTTAGAGCTTGTTTTCAAGTGGAATTTAAATTTAATCTGATTTTCTTTCAGGAAGACAAAGTAAAATAAAGTGAGGTTTTAGTTGAGTCTCCGACAGGACGCTCGCGTACAAAAGTCGAGAGCAAAACAGAGGCAACAGAACCACAAATTGTAGGGATTTTGCAGCAAAATTCAGTTTAGGAGCTTGTTTTAATTTGGAGTCCTAAACTCCTAAATTCATTAGAATTTTAATCTTCATTTTAAACCCCCTTTAAGACTCCCTTGGAACGGAGCTGCATTTCCAACTCATGCTTTTTAGACACAATAACATCTCTGATATCACGCAGGATAATGCCAATCATATTTTTATTATGCTCCCATTACTCCTTTGCTTTCAGCTGCTTTTTTCAGCTTTACTACTCGTTTCTTTTATGCCTTTCAGACGAGATTATGAAGCTTTTTGGAAATAAATAGACAGCCTGATTTGCATCCTAATGGCAGGAGCCACCAGCGCACCGATCACGGGCACGCAGCTGTTTTTCCCTTTAGAGCCGCAATTTAATCCAGCGATTTGATGCACATTCCCTTCTTTTAGTTACAGGCATTTAACTTCCAGCAAGGTAAATTCATCACAGGCTTTAGAACACACTCCTCTTGATTAAAAGACAGATATCATATAATTATTCCCGCCGCAGCAGCTCCGAGGAAACGAGAGCCCCGGCGCGGAATTCAAGGATGGAGAGAGGGAAGGAACAAGGATTCCTTGGAATGTGAGTGCTCCAAGGTAATTACTTTGGGCTTTACTCCACCAGGACTGAGTAGACTCCTGTTAGCTGGGGGGTTGTGATGAGCTTTGTCGGAAGGAACAGTTATATTAAAGATGGAAAATTAAACACAACCAGGGAAGCGACGGATATTTTTCCTAAATATTGGTTGAAAACACCCAATCTCCGAATGACCACCTGACTCCTTCCCAATATCCCATCTTTCCCTGCTCTCTAGCACTGGGAAGCCATTCCCTGTGTCCTGTCCCTCCAGGCCTTGTCCCCAGTCCCTCTCCAGCTCTCCTGGAGCCCCTTTAGGCCCTGCCAGGGGCTCTCAGCTCTCCCTGGAGCCTTCTCTTCTCCAGGGGAAACCCCCCAGCTCTCCCAGCCCGTTCCCATATCCATTCTGGGCATTTTCCCGTTCCTTCCTGGATGATGTGCCCACACAGACTGGGAAGCTCTTCCACCCCAAACTGCTCATGAGCCTCAGATCAGTTTGTGGGACACCATTCCCTGCTCTCCAGCTTCCCAAACACTTCCTCTGCTGCCACCTTGGACCTCCTCAGGCCACAGATCCCTGTGATCCAACTGGCCAGCCAAAGAATTCGATGGGATACTGGGAAGGAATTCCTGGCTGGGAGGGTGAGGAGGCCCTGGAATAGAATTCCCAGAGAAGCTGGGACTCCAGCCCTTGGAGCACCTTTGTGCCTCCTCTGGAATCCTTCCAACAGCTCCTTCTTTTATGGGGGCCCCAGAGCTGGATGCAGCATTCCAGGTGGGATCTCCAAGCACCACATTCCCACATTCCCACTCAGCCTTGACTGAAATCACCTCAGAACCCTTTTCCCCTAAAATTTTAACACTGTTTTGAGTAGGACTGATTTAATCACTCACCCACAAATTTAACCCTGGCTTTGCAAAGTCTGGTGTGAATCACAAATGAGAGAACAATTTCCCTCTTTTTTTGAGGCCACAATCCAGGGAAATGCAGAACAAGGCGCTCCAGTCTTCATGTGACAAAGGGAACCCACACACCCAAGTCCTTCTTCAAAGGTAGGGAATCATGGAATCCCAGAATTGATTGGAAAGACCCTCCAAGATCACCCAGCCGAACCATCAACCCACCACCACCAAACCCTGTCCCCCAGTGCCACATCCACAGGTTTTCTGAACACTCCCAGTGACTCCACCACTGCCTGTTCCAACACTTAACAACCCTTTCCATGGAGAAATTTCCCTGATATCCAACCTAAACCTCTCCTGGTGGAACTTGAGGCCCTTTCCTCTCATCCCTGAAAACAAGGACAGTGGTTTTTGGGGGGAGCATCGCGTGCATTTTGCTCCCCCAGGGTGTTGTGTGAGGTGTCCATGAGTGCAGCAGCTCTCACAAAATTTGGGATTTTGTCCCTTCCCGAGAACTGTGAGCCCCTTGGGCTGAAGGGAAAACCACTGTTAACAAACTGAACAGCTTGGAATTCATCAAACCCCCCCGGCGAAAAGCAGTTCCCACCTAAAAAATTAGTCTTCAGCTGCTCCACTCGCATTTGCATAACAAGAGCAAAGCCTCTTGATTAATTAGAAGCAAAACATGTTCCAGAATTTGCAATAATTGAAGCAATGATACCTCGTAATGGGGGCACAGATTTTAAATAAATGTTACCCTCGTCCTACCCGACGAAACATTTAATTTAATGTCACGGGAGCAAACTGTGGAACCGGTGCTCCAAATGAGGTTGGCATTTCCTAATGAGATCTCAGTGTTGGTTTAAAGGTTATTTGAAATCCCAGCAGCATTTGGAAAGGCGGGGGGTTATGCCTTCTACTCCTGCAGGAGGAAATAAAAAGGAGCGGATGAACCGGCGGCGATTTTTAGGGCAAAACATTTTTTCCCGGGATTTGGATGGGAAGAGAAGGTTTCCCACAGGAAGGATTTCCAGGTAGACATCACCAAGTCCAGGGATTAATTCTCTCATCTCTCCCCCTGAGCTGATGGTGGGAAATACTCAAGAGGGCTTTGGCCACAACAACCCCCGGCAGCTCCAGGCTGGGCCAGAGGGGCTGGAGAGCAGCCAGGCAGGAAGGGAGCTGGGAGTGGGGATGGACAGGGAGCTGAACAGGAGCCCCAGTGTGCCCAGGGGGACAAGAGGGCCAATGGAGCCTGGCCTGGCTCAGGAACAGGGTGGCCAACAGGGCCAGGGAAGGGATTCCTGCCCTGGACTCAGCGCTGGGGAGGCCACCCCTGGAGTGCTGTGTCCAGTTCTGGGCCCTCAGCTCAGGAAGGCCCTGGAGGGGCTGGAGCAGGGCCAGAGGAGAGCAACGAGGCTGGGGAAGGGACTGGAGCACAAGTGCTGGGAGGAGAGGCTGAGGGAGCTGGGGGGCTCAGCCTGGAGAAGAGGAGGCTCAGGGGAGACCTCCTCACTCTCTGCAACTCCCTGCCAGGAGGGGGGAGCCGGGGGGGGTTGGTCTCTTTTCCCAGGCAACTCTCAGCAAGACAAGAGGGCTGGGTCTGCAGCTGGGCCAGGGGAGGGGGAGGGTGGAGAGCAGGAAGAATTTCTTTGCAGAGAGGGTGCTGAGCCATTGGAATGGGCTGCCCAGGGAAGGGGGGGATTCTCCGTCCCTGGAGGTGTTTAAGGACAGACTGGATGTGGCATCAGTGCCATGGGCTGGGAACCACGGCGGGGTTGGATCAAGGCTTGGACTGGATGATCTCGGAGGTCTCTTCCAACCCAGCTGATTCTGGGATTCTATGATAAAATTAGACACAGCAAAATCCCTCAAAACCTAAAACTGGACCTAAAGGGGAGCTCGCCGAGGGGTATCGTTGGATTCCAAATTTTGGATATGAGAAAAGAAACTGCCAGGTTTAAACAGAAAAACCTCAAGTCACAGAAGCTGGGGAAAAAACCTCTGTTTGAGGGACAGGTCAGATATCACTTGTTTGGAATGCTCTGCCAAGGAACAGGTGCTCTGATGTTATCAGACCTCTGCATAAACTCATTCTGTTCTCCCCTTTGCATGTGTATACTCTGTAACATGTTGCATCTGTATATCCAAAACCTAATCCCCCTGTAAAATCCCCCAAGATAAAATAGGGTTTTTTCCTATGATGTAAGTGCTAAGACCCAAAATTTGTCATTTAGGATGCCACCCTTGGAGACACTCAAAGTTGGACTGGACACAGCCCTGAGCAACCTGAGCTAACCTAAAGCTGGTCCTGGTGTGGGCAGGGGGTGGGACAACAGGTCCTGTCAGATTAATTTACTCCAAATTACTCCAGGATTCCACGAGCTGGGATGGCACCACTTGTTTGTGTCTCTTGCAACAGGTCCATGCTGGGTCACAGAACCATGGAATCATGGAATGGTTTG